CAGCGCCTCACATGTGCACATGTCGACAGATGCCAAATGCTTCAGCTGTGACCATCAGCGGTCTGAAAAACTGACGCCTAAACGCCTCCTCCTGAGCGAAAGGGTTGACCCGGAGCAGAGACGGCTGACGAGTCTTTCTTTTCCTCCCGGGGTTGAATGCGACTGTCACCGCTGCTCTCCTGGAACGTAATCTCAAGTGGCGTTCCTCGTCTTAGCGTGCGGGGCGGCGTGCTCGCTGTGAGGGAGGGGAGAGAGACAGACGAGTAACTCGGCTGTTGAAATCTATGTCGAGGGTTTTTTCTTTTCCCATCTTTAAGTAGATCAGTGACCCCCCCCCAACACACACACACTTTACCATGTGTCTTTATATTTTACAGTTTTCCAGTGTTTTATTTTAAATTTAATTTCCATAAGAACAAACAGAATATTTGTGGTTTTAAGAGAATAAAAACCACCTCAGTGTAGTTTTACATCCTCTGTCTGGAGCTCTGGTTACAACAGGTTCATCAGTCGATTCTGATTAAAAACGCTTCAACGGTGACACCTGCAGGGCAGGTGAGAGGGGGAGGGGCAGTGAAACACAGGAGTACTATGTTGGAAAAGAAATTATGACTTAAAAAGTAGCAAATTCTCGTGGACACGATATCTCAGTAACGTCTCGAAGGAACGTCTTCAAATTTGGCACAAACATTCACTAGGACTCAAGGATGAACTGATTAGATTTTGGTGGCTAAAGGTCAAAGGTCAAGGTCATGGTGACCTCAGAAAATATGCAAATGGTGAATATTTTATATGATCTATATTATATTATCTCTGCATAAACAGGGATGTAACCTGAGACTAGTCTGAGTGGCGGAGGCGGACAAGGGGGATTAGAGACGTGAAAAATACAAAAAAGAAAAACCACAGACTGTAAATAAAGATGGACGTAGCCTCCGTGACGTCACCCACAGGTTTCTGAAGAGCGGTTTTGAAACTCAGAGTGAGCTGCTCCACAGTCGCCATCTTGGCTGTGTCTGACTCCGCCCCTAACTCCTGGCTAATCCAGAAATGGTCAAAGAGGAGTGGCATGTGTGGAGCAGAGACTTCGGTGCATGCTGGTTTGTGGAAAGCAAACACTCATCCACCTGTCACTCAAAGAGGCCACACCCTCAGTCCTCCATAACTTTAGTCCTTAATAAAATGTGAACAGGTGAGTTATATAAACAGGTGAGTTATATAAACAGGTGTGTTTATTTCTGCTGTTAGCTAATTAGCTCTTAGAGACCAAAACAGTTTCTGTACCAGGCTGTAAACATGTTTATTTCTGCTGTAAAGTTGGACGTTTTAACATGGGAGTCTATGGGGACTGACTCACTGTTGGAGCCAGACTCTAGTGGCCATTAGAGGAACTGCAGCTTCATGTTTCAGCCTCGGAGGTTGACGCTTGCAAAAAAAACACAGACCGTAGAAAAGCAATGCCAGTCTGAATCTATCTGGGTTACGTAAACTAACTCACTGACCTTACCAGATGATGGATATTTGTATAACTAACTCCAATCTGCCTGTGATTCATAATCTGCAGGTGCCCTCAAGCTGCACTGCTCTGAGCTTCTCCACGAGCACTAATGATTTGGTTTAAACATACTTGAAGAGTCAGTTTTAACCACACTCCAAGGACTCTCGAGTGCAAGTAAATTGCTCTGAGCAGGAGCTGTATACAAATACTGACCTGGATGTAAACACGAGACTCCTTCAGTGTTGATTCCAAGCTCTGCAGAACCAGCTCTCAAAGAGCTTCATATCTGACAGTGAACCTGTTTTAGACCAGGACCAACTGGTGATATATGTGGGATCACGAATATTCTAATATATACGGCATAGTTTTGATTCAACTTACAGCCGGGTCATTCAAGCCTCTACACTTGCTGCTTTACAAAAACACATGTATTAATACTAATTATATATCCTTTTTTTTTTTGTGTGTGTGAGGTCACTGTAACCTTGACCTTTGACCTTTAACCACCAAAGTCAAATCAGTTTGTCCTTGAGTCCAGTTAAATGTTTTTACAAAGTTTGAAGAAATTCCCTCAAGGCGTTACGGAGACATTGCGTTCACAAGGCCAATACCACCTTTTGTGAGGTCACCGTGACCTTTGACCTTTGATTTGACCATTTTAATATAAAAACATGTTTTAATGCAGCTCAAAGAAGTTGGAAAGTTGCCAACAATCAGTTCATCCTCGAGTCCCAGTGGATGTTTGTGCCACATGTGGAGGGATTCCCTTGAAGAGATACGGGCGTTCACAAGGCCAAAACCAAACCATTTTGTGAGGTCACCATGACCATGACCTTTGACCTTTAGCCACCAAAGTCTAATCAGTTCATCCTTGAGTCCAAGTGAACGTTTCTGCCAAATTTGAAGAAGCTTCTTCAGGGCGTTACTGAGATATCGTGTCCCATGAGAATGGAGCAAAGAGACGGACGGACAGCCTGAAAACAATATGGCTGCTGCTCTGACTGTCGCCGCACACAGGCATGAACAAAAATGTTTGATGTTCTTCATCAGCTACTTGCTAACCTCCTCGCTCCGGCTACAACTTGCTGTGTTTTGACAGTAAATGTGCTGTACGATGAAAAACAAGCTAAAAGAGGCTGAAAACCTCCTGAGAGTCGCAGAGAGTCTAACACCTTCCAAAATAACTCGCTCACTCGATCCAATCTTCTTATAAAAACATGTTTTAATCCAGTTTACAGACGTTGGAAAGTTGCCAACAGGGAAGATGTGACTGATAACAAACTGGTTTAGAAAAAACTGAGCAGCATGTAAATCATTTAATATGAACTTATTCACCCTGTAACATTCATGTGACCTGTGAGGCGCTATGATCACTAGATCAGTAACACAATGTTCTTCTCAGAGGCAAGCACACTTTATGCAAACAGGTTCTGCATTTGTCCCGCATACAACAACAGGTCACGTGGTTTTACATATGCAGCTGTGGTTTGGCATGCCACAGCCATATCCTCCTGCTGTGCTCTCCCTCATGTTCCACACACTGTAGAATGTAGACTGTGTGTGGGCGTGTGTGGTTTACCTTGAATTTTCAAGTTGCTTAAAGGGCCCTTAAAATAAAAGATCCACCTTAATGTGCACAATATTTACATGTAATTTAGTGAAAGCAGCAGTTGTTGCCATGTTATTGTTCTTATTCCATCAGTCTGTCGTTGAGCTGTTTTCCTGTTTAGCTGTGATGCAGAAAAATGTGTCAGCTACTAAAAAAACATCAACAGAAAGCTCAGGCTTTGGTGTCAGTCCCTGAGAATCAAAGAGTCTGAGACTCTCTGTTGCACTGACGGGGAGGAAGGCATGGCGAAGCAGAGAGAGCACTTACCCCCCGCTAACACTAACCTCAGTAGCTCACGTATGTAATTTAAACATGAAGACATGGCACTCTGCGCTTACTTTTTCCCTTACATGACCCACACACTTTTACTCGAATACAAAATGTTCTTGCACATTCTTTACAAGCTGTTAAGAAACTAGAATTAGCACCTTGTGGTTGTCGGCCTCCGCCGCTCAGACAGGTGTCAAATTACATCCCTGTTTATCCAGAGGCATATACAATATTAACTGTCTGTGTGAGATGTTGTCGTGGTTGCGGTGTGCTGTCTTGAGTAAAGGCTTAAAAAGTGTTTTGTGAGGTCACGCTGACGAGAACGGACGAACAATCCTGAAAACAGTATTCCTCCAGCGCTGGCTGTCGCTCGCGCAGAGGCGTTAAAGTATCTGTCTCTTTAGCTGCTAAATGTTTGACGTTCTTCATCAGCTAGTTGCTAACTATGCTAACTTTAAAAAAGAAAACAACAACAAAAAAAAAACACCTCTTTGCTGCTGTTAGAAAATGTGTTGTACGACCAAAACAAGCTAAAAGAGGCTAAAAAAAAAGTTCATGGCCCATTCCAAATAACTAACTAACTCTTGATCCAATCTTAATATAAAAACATTTTTAATGCAGCTTAAAGAACTTGGAAAGTTGCCAACAATCAGTTGAGTCCTAGTGAAGTTCTGTCACGGCGATACGGAGACATCCACCCGAAAACACTACGCCTCGGGTGCCGGCGAGGAGGCGTAAAAAGTCAGTGGAGTAGAAATATCAACAGACACGGTAGATTTCATCACAAAAATCACACCTGGAATGCTCTGGATTTAAGAAAAACATAGATAGTGTGAGAATATTGTGACACTGCAGCCTCCTCCCTTCATGCATTTAACCAGACGACAGTTCTCCTTACGTGTCGAGCAACATTTCTTAGAGAGCTATACATAATTTACAATAGGTGTGTTCAGACATCCAGTCCTGCAGTGGAAAAAGCAGCCAATCTACAGCCCTTTTACACACTTGGAAAACGTCCAAGTTAATAAAGGGAGGCAAAGGTGATGTAAGGTAAGTGAACAGGCCCACACCGAGCGATCGCAGTGCAGGGACATTTGCAGATCAGGAAGACTTTGAAACCTTCCCGCTAATAATTTACCTGCAAGATGTGATTCTGCAGACGTGTGGGACATGACAGACACTTTTAGGATCATCATTTATCAAGATGCAAAGTTCATAAAATTTTATGTTGCAGTACTAAAACAAAAAACAAAAACAAAAAAAACATATTACATAGTAGTAGCTTATCATTGCAGAACAAAGATGGTCACATTTAAAGTTCTTTTTTTTTTCCCAGTTAGGACCTGCACCTGCATAAAAAAATATTATTGCATAATTATTATTATTTCATGCAATTAAATGCTATGCAATAATGTTATAATAATAATAATAATAATAATACAGCAAGATGGATAATGATACTAATAAATAATAATGATTTCCGTCTGATTTCCTTGAACACACACACACACACACACACACACACACACACACACACACACACACACACAGTAAGTTGAAGCAATATGTTTCCTGTCTTCCTGTACCAGGCCGACTGTAAAAACAGCCAACCGCCATCGAAAAGAAAAGAAAAAAAAACTTGGGAGTTAGTAATTAGGGCGAGGCTTATTCTGCTCGGTTCCTGCCCGTGATTCTGCTCTCTGATTCCCCGTAGCGATCAGTGGGAGCGCTGCAAGTTAGTGTGCCCCGTTTTCAAGGTTTGTTTTTCGGCTCCATGTTGAAGTTTTTTTTTTCTCCTCGGCGTCCAGAGCACCAAGACTCTCGTAGCCGCATACAGTGTTAGCGGATACACACAGATACAGTACACACACTTACACACACACACTTACACACACACACTTACACACACACGCGCGCATAGCCCTCGCCTGATTTGCACTAGCGCGGGTCATTTCAGGTTAAACCCTGGCGCTGTGTCCCGTCCAGTTTAGCCGACGGAGATCAACACTGGTGGTTCCAGCTGAGGAGGAATGCACAGACACCGGGACTCCAAATAATTTTTTTTTCCGGACACGAGCTTCTTCTTGCATATGCGGTACGTTTCATTTTGTGGTTGTTGTTGTTTTTTTTTTTGTTTTTTTTTAATGTCAACAGTCTGGACTAATAATAATAATAATAATAATAATAATAGTAGTAGTAGTAATAATAATAATAATAATAACAGTGGTAATGACAGCCGCTCCAACAAACTGGGTGTTTGACAGTATAGCTGAGCGGTGGGCGGACATTGCGCTTCCGAAAGCTAACGTTCATGTGAATGTTCACGCTTTTTAACACGGCGCACTAATGTGTTTTTGATGTCCTACGGACGGAAGAGTGTGCGCAGAACTGCGTTCAAAATATCCGCAATTTAAGCTGCCTCGCTTAACGGGCGAGACGGTTCACACACACACACACACACACACACACACGGAGGGGGGGAGGTGGTGGTGGGGGGGGCTTAAGACATTTCCAGGATCGATTCGGTGTTTTGTTTTTTGTTTTATAACAATTCGCGGGGTACAGTTTATCCACCGAGCTGCACTTTATTACAGGGATATTTGAACTTCATAAGTGGTTAACTCCGCTGCCTTTACGCCCACGATGGTGTGTGTGTGTGTGTTTTCTTTTTTTTTTTTTCTGGTCGGGAATGAGACGGCGCGAAAAAGAAGGGAGAGTTTATCCGAAAAGTTTAGATGTACTTTAATCTCTGGTGTGTTTTATTCACGCCGAATTGAAGCCTCGGTTGTAACGAGGCAGGAAGTCGCTTGAAAGTCGTTGTTGTTGCTTGTTAAGTTGATCAAAAAAGCCAGAGCAAGTTAAATCGATGGATATTTCGGGGGAGGTTCTGTCGGTGCAGGAGAGCAGCGAACATACCCGAGGCTAGCCTCTTTTTTTTTCTTCTTCTTCTTCTTCTTCTTCTTCTTCTTTTTGTCCTGAAGACTTGACGGAGTTTTATGGGCCGAGGGTTATCGTTTCCCTCGCAGCCTGGGGCCCGAGGGCAGGCGTCCAGCTCCGGGATGATAACGCTCGTGTGGCACGGTCTGGCTCACTTTTACTCCCGTGGCCTTTAAGGACATGTCAGTTCATCTCCACCGTGATGTAACCGCACCGCTTTTTCGCTCTGGCAGCACGAACTTCGCTGATCAACATCTTGCATGTAAAAATAAACAGGCATATCTTCCCAGTGCGTTAGTGACCTTATATGTTGGGGCTTTTCTGGACATGACGGTTCGGTGTTTGACATTGCAGAAACAAAAGTATGCACGAGCCTTTAGTCCGGGGCGGGGGGGCAGATTTGTTTGGGAGTGTAAAGTTGGCTTATTGACAAATATTTATGAAGTGTCCCTTTTGCCCTGCCGTAGTTTGCAGTAGCACGGCATGATGACATGTTACCTTCATGAACCGATACCTCCATGAGCATAAAATGATGCCTTCAAAGGCTGTCAGAAAATGCAGGAGTGCTTGTGCAGGAACGATCCGAGCAAAGTGTGCGTGGGATGGGGGATGGATGTGGAGATGTGAGGTGAGGATTGTGCCAAAAAAAAAAAAGAAAAAAGAAAAATGACCAGAAATATGAACATAAAAAAAAAAAAAAATTATTAGTGATTATAAAACTGAGCAACAGATGAATCTTTTCAGACACTGGTCATAATCAGTCTCTGGTTTAATGGGGAGGGAATGAAAAATACAACCTTTTAATGAAGTATCATATCAATTCAATTCAATTTCAAGTCAAAATATTTAAAAATGTCAGTATGATTTACTTTAATATCATATAAACTAACACAGTTAATTTATATGACTTTGTGCACACATACCTTAAGAAGTACTTTGGAAACGTCATAGAAAACGGCATTTTTATTCAGAAACCAGAGTCAGTAGTAACCATGACAAATCGTATCGACATCATGCAAAATGGGAGTTTCCCAGGGACAACTGAAGGCAGCGTTAGTTTTCAGCTGAGGGTATTTAAGGTCATTCCATCTGCCTATTTGCCACTGATTTGTGGGAGCTTGCGTGAACGGTATCAACTGGCAGACAGACCCGGCTGGTGTTTGCAGCCTGTATATCACAGCACGATGCACGCAGCAGGTTTTTAAAATAAAAAAAAATAAAAAATGACGTCATGGATCTGCGTTCGGTTGAAACAGTTTGTGACACAAGGCTGAAAAGCCGGAGAAGCTCTGGTATAAAATGTTCAATTCTTTCACCTCTTTGTTGTGTTTGTTGAGACTTGTTAGATTATTTTCAGGTGTAGAAGGACGCCCCACCCCTCTGATGGCAGTAGTGCATTTAACATAACAAGCCTCGACTGTGCGATCAAGACGTCTTTGATCTGTGGGTATCTTGTGAGTTGAACTTCACAGCCGGGCCTGTACGACACTGTCGCACTATTTCTTGGTAAATTATTACATGTAACTGATTCAGATTAGATGGTTTCAAATCAAATTAGCAGTTTGATTCAGGAGCAGTTACTTAAACAAAACCCAAGATTAGATTCAGTAACAATTAACTAAAGAAAAACTGTTTTCATTCTCCCACGAGCAGCAGTTTGAATCGACTTTTATTACCATAAAAGGTAAAAAAAAACAGAGAGCGTCATCACATTTAAAGCATTATTTTTTTCATTTGGCATAATTTATAACTCGTGCACGGATCCAGCAAGTGATACATTACAATCCATTTGTCAGCTCTACAAGTTTTATCATGTGGGCCTGTAGTTTGAGAGCAGTAAATATTAAAGGCCTTACACACTCATGATAAACCCACACAGGTGTTTTCACTTACTTAGCCTGTTAAGACCTTTCTGAGGGGAGTGTGGGTGTGTGCAGACACAGTTTGATTGACATCGCTTTTATTTGTTCGTTTTATCGCACTCATTAAGGCAGAGCAACTTTATTTAATTGTTAATTAGTTAATTAGATAAATCGATTGATTTATCGAGACACTTTATCAAGAGTTTAAAGCGGTTTGATGCTGCCAGTGTTAAACTGCACCTGGGCAGACGTCCAATCAGAGTGAAAACACCTGTGTGGGTGTACAGGGCTTTAATGTTCATGTGGTACAGCTCAATTAGCCCATTAAAGGAAGGGCTTAATGAACCCTACATTTTGTTCTTGCTGGAGATTCCACTGTGACACGCCTGTCTCCACAGGCACTATAGGAATTATAGGAAGCCATGACGGCTGGTTGTATTTACCTGCTGCGACAGTGGAGCTGGTATTGTGTCTGTGTCACAGCAAAGTCTGGTTGTGGAGACACCTACTGAACCACCACTGAGGCGGAGTTGGAGACTCTGACAGTTGTTTATATGTGCGTGCGTGGACAAAATCTGTCGCCATGACGGTTTAGTACAATGTGAGTGCAGGCCTACCTTCTGTAAAAGAGTGGTGACTAAAGAAATCGATTAACTAGGTGCAGCAGTTCTTTTTAATCGGCAGCCTGATTGCTGAATCGATATCAACAGCTAGCAGCTAATTGTTAGCCAGCTTTCTAGCCCTGATAGCATTGGTGCGTGAACCAGAGAACTGTTTGTTTGTTCAGTATCTCGCTCGCAGTGAAAAAATCTTAATGTTTAACAGCCACTGGTAGTTGTTTAACTTTCTGCTATCTGCTAACTGCTACCTGCTAATTGCTATCTGCTGTCTGCCATTTGGTAACTGCTATCTGCTAACAGCTAGCTGTTGTTGCTTGTCTGTCTGTTGACCAGAATAAAAGCACCAGTGGTTCCGCTTTGATTTATTTCATAATAATAGGACTTTATTTAACTAAGAGGCAGAAGACTAATATATTGGCTCACGGCCAAAATGACACATTTTTTGCTTTTAGCATTTCTGTCAGCGTCACGGCAGAGCCAGTGCTGCTGAAATAAAACTCTTGACTCACGTGATATTTGGAAACATGACTCATGATATACAGCTCATGTTCTCTAAAGTCTAGATTCAACCTTTCCCCATGGTCAAGTGTTGAAAAAGTAAAGCTAAAATTGCAATAAATCAAAATATCAAATCGCATTGTGTCGCATAATGTCAAGTGTGCAGTGTGCAAATGTAATTAGTCAATTTATTGAAAAGTAGATTGAAAGAAAATTAAATATTAACTATTCTGATAACAGTTATTTGTCAGTTTTAAAGCGAAAATGCCAAAACTCTGATGTTTCCAGGTTGTTAGTTGTTAAAACTTTCAGTTTTTCTCGTCTTACAGTATCGTAAATTGAATCTTTGAAAGTCAGTTTTTCATTATTGTCTGATTTATTTATTTATTGATTTTTTATAGACCAAAAGGGTAATTGTGAAAAAAAACCCTGCAGATTAATCAATAATGGAAATAGTTAGTTAGTTAGTTAGTTAGTTGGTTGCAGCTCTAGGAAACAAAACATGAAAATACATGAAAAAGAAATAAGAGCTCTGACTGGCTATTGGCAGTTACCCAACATTAAAGGACTCATGTCTCGTGCTGGTTACATTCATTTTCCCACTCAATTTGATTAAAAATGATTGACTGACTGCGATCCTTAACACACCACAGTCAGTATGTAATCATACATTATCGGTCACCGGCGCTTTAGTCGGCCTTTTTCTTGTTTCACGGTAGAAAAATGTCGACAGGTCGCAGTAGGAAGGTGTAAACGAGAAACACAAGGTGCTTCAGCAGGATCATCTCAGGAGTTAGCAGGCGCCTGTTGTTGTGGTTTGACAGGTGATCTGCAGATTCTCTCCTTCAGGGCTTAACTGTTTTAACCTTTCAAGTAAAAACAACTTCGCTGTGTCCCAACATTCCTCCGCCCCGAGGCTACGAGTCGCATTCATCTGTGCCGCGTCGTTTCTGCAAAAGAAAAGAGCAAATAACGGCGTCTCTGAAATGTCTCAGTTTGTAACGTGATACCATTATTATTATTATTATTATTATTATTATTATTATTATTATTATTATTATTATTATTATAGCACTGGGAAGACTTTAATAACTTCTGGGGAAATAATTACATTTTCCCCTTGTACTCTGGAACAGATGGAGCCACAAGTGTATTTTTTACACTTAGAGTTTATTTTC